CAGACATTCAACCTGACTTTGATGCACTCGTTAAAGCCCAGCAGAGACTAGATTTCTCTCATTGAATAAGAAAAAAATCGCTTAAAAACACAAAATAAGGTGTTTGGACCACAAATGTAGGCAACTAGCAGTGAACTGGGACACTTTTTTTTAAACCTCTTTCTCAAGATCACAGTTCAGTGATTTTATTTTACAGACAATACTGTGTGTCTGTAGAATGCTAAGAACCTCTTTCCAACAATATTTGAAACTCAAAATGTGTTTTGGAGTGAATGTGACTGAAACTGTTAACTAATATAAGTCACAAATGTTTAACAAAAACCAAATGCACACTTTGTTTACCATTGCCTTGGGAAATTTGAATAAATCACATTTTTGTAAGCCAACCTCACTTTTTCCTTTTTGCTCATTTATAACATATAGTCTACTCTTACCAGCTTGAAAAAAACGATGGTATTTACTGCTTTTTATAAAGAAATACCATTAATATTATGCATAATTGACTTCAGCCTTTTGGCCTGGCCCTCCACAATATTTTCTATTTCTCATGTGGCCCCATGGAAAAAATAATTGCCCACCCCTGCTCCAGAGGATCCTGGCTCAGTATAAGCAGCCATCCACCACGACTCACTGGGGATCGAGAAGACAGAGCAGACGCACGCACGCACGCACGCACGCACGCACGCACACACACACACACACACACACACACACACACACACACACACACACACACACACACACACCAAGCAATATGTCTATAGTTACATTGTGATTTCTTAGTAAATATTCTATTTGGCGAGAGATAAACTTTATTGTATTTATCCTAGTGAAACGGGTAAACTAGTAGTAGCACATTCAATGTCAAGGAAAGCAAAAAGTTATTATCAGGAGAGGGAGAATGTTTAAGTGGTTAGCAGCAGTGTGCTAGACGATGGCCCCCTCCATGAGGCCACCACAGCTCAGCAGAACATCATTGTAGCTTCTTCTGGGGAGGAAAACACTTGAAGAGAAAATTGAGTTAACAGCTGAAATTGCAGAAAATAATACAGTTAAAGAGCAGACTGTAGTTTGTGAACAAACGCTGCTGATGGAGGTAAAGCTGCTATAGCTCTTAAATATTCTTGCTCGATTTTCGCTAGCTCTAGCATTTTTCCTTTGCATGTAGCTGCCGCCACGGCTGTGACGGGACCTACGGCAATGTATATTTGTCAAATGTGTATTTTGACGGACACGACACTAGGTTTATGTTTACATCTACCAGCCAGTAGACACCATTGCAGGTTGCCAAACAGGATAAACAGTCCACTTGTCACAGCCAGGCTGGCATTGTGGAAAATGGCAGCGTTGTTAAGTCAAGCAGCTGCTTCAGAGCCCAAAAGATTACTAACATTGAATACTGTTGTAAAATAAACATATTAGTAGAAATTTGTACTTATCCTGTACGATTCTTGACTGGAGGTGGTGCTGGCTGGTCACCTCACCTATCAGCAGCGAGCCTGGCCTCCTGAAGACTGAAAACCCTGTTCTATTGTTACAACTACAACTTCTTACTTGATATTAATCTTATGCAGTTGTTTGTACTTTATTTATTAGTTTAATAATGCTTAATAATGGACTAAATAATGTTAATAGAGGGACCCTTATTGTCAACTGTTACCAATAAATCTAAGAAAAGAAATGGTGGAATATCATGTTTATTATCAAGTACTTAAAAAACAAAACAAAGTCTAAACCTAAAAGGTCCACCTGAATTCACCCAAAAACAACAGCTGTGAGCCGAACCAGCAGCAGATAGTAGAGAGCTACCCAACCACTCCTGCAGCTTGTCTGGTTCTTATCACAAACTCATTACTGGACAGTTTTTGACAAAAACGCCAAGGGGCAGCGGTAGCTGGCTGCCAGATTGCCTGTCCCATCTGTGGGCTCACGTTTGGAAGAGGGAAGAAGCAGGAATGGCGCTGAGGGAAGCTGTGTTTACTCTGACAAATTCACATGAACCCCAAAACAAAAACACCGGAAACACTCAAGCGAGAGACTCAGCCCAGCTCATGAAGAGATAACAAACTGACAAAGGGAGTTACCATCAAATGAAACAAGTCTTGTTTATTAGGAAGAAGAAATTTGTTTCATAATTTAGTGCATAAAGAATGCATGATGAGGATATGTTGTATTACCAAGCAGTGTCACAAACAATTAATTTTGATCGGACATGTCTTGGTGTTTGTGTGTCTAAAATATATTCCATTTGTTAGCCCAGAGGTGGACGGAAAAACATCGGCTGTACGAGTGATGAGGTAATCTGCATTCAGTTTGATGTTTAGAGTCGAGGACCTCAGGCTTTACCGGAACTATATATATATATATATATATATATATATATATATATATATATATATATATATATATATATATATATACATATATATACACACACGCACACACACACACTTTCTTCTTTTTAATTCTGCTTCCATAACAATAAACAAATCAGATAAAGTGAATGGGGATTCTGGGATTAATTTTGAAGCAGCTGATTAGGAGGTTTGTGTCATGGGATAATCATGTCTGGGATGATGCAGCCTTCAGGCATTAAGAACCCCCATCATCTCCTTATTGAGCCCCATTTCCACCCATTATAGACCCCCACCCCTTCTATCCATACTCTTCTGAAGTCTGCAATCAGAACTGTGAAAACATATTAATTGGACACGGTCTTCTGCATTATAACTGTCAGTTTATTATTAGTAAATAAATGGTAAATAATTGTACCTGGTATTGGTTTCTTTCAAAATGTTCTCTTTTATGCTCTGTGTGAAGGCAGAATCATCCTCTTGTTCAGTGTAGTGTTGCTGTAGCTTTTGAAAAATAGGCAAAATCTCACCACAGGTCGGACTTTAGTCACTGGAGTCTGGAGGTTAGGGATGTTTCGATCACTATTTTTGCTGCCGAGCCAATTTAGAGTCTGCCTATACCGAGTCCTGATCAGATACTTTAGAAATGCATTAAGACCAGTTCTTTTTCCTACATCAAGGAATTGATGCAGATCACGTTTTACCAATTCATGTCACCTGTAAAATACAAAAGGGAGTAACTATGACCCTCTTAGAGGCTTCCACTAGCTAATCGCTTGGCCTCCTGATCCGTCTTGTGCCCAAGGACGATTCAAGAAGGAGGGTCTGGGTGTTGGCTTGGTGGGGTCTCCTCCTCCTAAGGCTCACACTGTGTTGACTCCACCCCAGATGGGTGTTGTAGAGAAGTCAGAACCCCTCAACCTCGCATACCAACTCAGGCTGTTTCCCCACCAAAGAGGTGGCATTCCACATGCCAAGAGCCAGGTTCTGTAGCCAAGAATCAGACTGTCATGGTCCCCACCTTTGGCTACGACCCATCACACAATGCACCAGACCCCTTTGGCCCCTCCCACAAGTGGTATGCCCATGGGAAGAAGTACCCATGTCTTCTCTTAAGGCTGTGCTTGGCCAGCCACCAGGCACTCGTCAATATGCCCCACCTCCAGGCCTGGCTCCTGAGGAGGGCGTGCATGCATCTGCTCGGTCTTCTCAAACCCCAGTGAGTCATAATAAAAGCCTGCTCATACTGAGGCCTAGTCCACACGTAGCCGGTTTTTTTTTAAACGAATATCCGCCCCTCCAAAAACTTGCATCCACACCACCTCGTTTAAAAAAAAACTCTGTCCACACGTACCCGGATAAATACGTTGTTAAGGACATGCCAGACCTGTAGGCGGCAGTACTTCCCCCGTTCTTAACCTCGTCCTTCGTCTGTGGTCTTCCGCAAGGAGCAGTAATTCCGCTTGCAAAAACAAACAAGCAAAAAGCACTTGGACAATTGATAAAGCGAGCGCAGCTCTGAGGGCATCCATGCTGTCGGCTAGTGTAAACACAGGTCACAGACGTGATGTCAACATTTTTTTGTCGCGGAAAGTGACGTTGCGGACCTTAAAACTCCGGTTTTGTCTGTTCACACGCAGACACCCAAAACGGAGAAAACGCAGATCTTCACTTTGGCCGGAGTTTTTAAAAAGATCCGTTTTCGTGTGAAAAAACTCTGTTTTCGTGTGGATGACAGGCCAAAACGTAGAAAAATATCTACGTTTTGGCAGATCCCCGGCTACGTGTGGACAGGGCCTGAGCCGAGCTGTGTATATAAGGCAAATGACTCTAACATGCTATGCAGTGTTAGCTGATTAGTTACCAGCAGTAATTACAGGAGAGGTTGTGCACTGCTGCTGCATTGAAATTCACTACTTTGGAGCAGATCAAAAGCATGACATTCACTTTTCCAATTTTGTGCACAAATGCTTTCGCAAATGTGTAATGTTTCCTCCTTTTCATGAGAATTCTACTTTGTAAATAATGCACCTTCTAAGTGACCTAGTGGTAGAGTGTCCGCCCTGGGGACTGGGAGATCCAGGTTCAAAGCCTGGTCGGGTCTTACCAAAGAGTTTAAAAAAGGGACTTAGCACCTCAGCTTTATGGGATTGGATTGGGGGATTCAATCACCAATAAGTTCCTGAGCGCAAACACAGAAGCAGCTCACAGCTCCCCATGAGAATGGGTCAAAAGTGGAGTATGTAATGATGACTATAGAACTTTAACGTTTTTGCAAGTTGCCCTGTTGGCATCCTTTCTCAAAAAGTATAACCAAACTGCGTTTGGGCCTTTGTGTCGCTACTGTGCCGCTTAGGCGGCATGTTTCCTGCTAAGTATTCGTGAGCTGCAATGTTGCTTGTGTAAGCTATGCAACGTGCGTGGTGACGTCATTCATGCCAATTGGAACTGATGAGAGAATTGTATGCAGAAATGGCAAACAATTCCTAGGAATTGAAATAGTAGGAACCAGTTCTCAACAAGAACCGGTTTTTGATTCCCACCCCCTACTGGATTATATGCCTTCAAACACTCTGGCATAGGTTATAAAGTGCAATTAATCTTATTTATTTAGAAAACAAACTGACAGAAATGTACACAAACACATTGTTACAGAAGCAATTAGAGGCTTTTAATTCAACTGAACTTTTGGGTTAGAGATGATGATGAAAAACCTTCAAATGGCAAAGTCAAAATCCATAACTCCATCAGCATTCCACTTTGTTTTCTCATCTTCAATCTGGAAAATGATGACTGTCAAGCACAGACAGAACTCTCCAAGAGCAGCAAGTATTTCGTTGAATTTTCCTATTGAGAAGTAAGGAGA